AATAGTCACAAGATACTACACTAACTCATACACATGCTATTCAACTGTTCTTTTGGAAGCAGAATCAGAGTTGTAGCTCTACAGCAGTTAATCCATATTTGTGAGACAATAATATTAGTGGCACTATATTTACAAAATATCCTAAACTATAACCAATTTAAAACACGTTAAAATTCTTTGCCCATTTTGCATATGCTATACATCAGTGGTTCTCAAACTGCGGTCTGCAAGGGTATTCCAGGGAGTCCACAAGTCATGTCCAGAGCCCCCGGCCCTGCTGATCAACTCCTCCCTTGCCCTCCCAGTGCCTCCTGCACACTGCGGAACTGTTCAGTGGCATGCAGGCGGGGCTGGGAGGAAGAAGGAGCAGGGACAGGGTGCGCTCAGGGGTGGAAAGAGGTGGGGAAGAGTAGGGGTAGGGATGGAGAGGGGGAGAAGAGGTAGGGTGGGGTCTTGAGGGAAGAGATGGAGTGGGGGCAGGGCCTGGGGCTGAGTGGGGTTTGAGCACCCCCAAGGAAAATAAGAAGCTGGCTTGGGGGTCTGTGAAAATTTTTAAATCAAAATGGGGGTTGCTAAAGTTTGAGAACCACTGCTATATAATAATATTGCATAATAGGTAAGACTAGACTATCAAGCCAAAGGCTATCCCTTCCACCCTGAATTTTCCTGTTTTTGTGGATTTCGGTGAAGGTATTTACTGTTGGGAGTACTTTTAATTTTTTTTTTAATTCTAATAATAAAATTATCTATAATATATGAACTCAGTTAAGTAACATCAGTATTACATGTAATACAATTTGCGATTGTCTCAAACATAAAACATCTTGTACCCCAGAGTCCCACCTGATTGCTCTCCACGTGGAGAATCTTCCTTCTTTGCCATTCCTGCTGCCATCAGTGTTTCAGAAAAATCAATGTGACTGTGCTCTGATTTCAATTTCCATATTCAAAGCAATTCTGTAAATGTTTTGGTTTCTTTTCACATTTTCCTTGTTTGAAAATGGAAACCATAAATACAAATACTTGTGTTTCTTCTCTACTTTTCCTTTTTCATCACCCCTATTCATTTCCCAAATGTTACCGTACCTTGATTTTGGTGGCGGTGGTGGTAATAAAGCAGTAATCATTTAAACATAATACTTACAGAAACATCTGTTGGAATGTTATGAGCCAACATGAATAAATCAGACCAACTCCTCTGCAACCTATATAAATGCATATTTTAAAAAATGTAGATGCATATTTTGCACTTGGTTGATAATATCATAACACACAGTAAGGAGCTCTTCTAATTATATACATACCCATCTACAGTATTAATGAATACCACACAGAATATCAATTCAGTTAATTTTTAAATATCAACAGCAAGTAAAAAATATTTGAAGGACTCAATCTGTATTAAGGAATAAATTTTTGAAACAAATGGACAAAAAGATTTTCTCCGTAAAAAAATACCTTTACAGAAAAATCCATATGCTAAATTTCAGGACAGAATTCATTTTATTACAGCAGACAAACCATCTAAAAAGATGTCTTGCTATGCTGACAAACCTATAGTGCCACTACTGAGCACAGTTAGAATACATTAATCACAAAATCAAATGGGTGTAAAGGCAGAATCTTTTTTTCCCAATGAACACAATGTTTTTAATGGCTACCCAGCTGCAGAGAAGAAAAACATGATCAATATTACAATTAACGCATCATTTAACAACTCGGTACCAGGCAAGTTTGGAGTATCTGTGCAAGTAGTACTACACGTTGGTAGTAGTACTTCTCATTAGAAGGTGGTATCAGGAAATGCTGATTCTTGGTTTTTGATTCTAAAAGATTTAAAGAATACTCAACTCCACTGCTCCCACTCATTCTCTCACAATGTGATTTCCAGTACTGTGAATTAATGATTGATTCACTAATTCCTTATTTGCTTAATTTGAGCTATCATCACTTTCTGACAATAAAAAACCAAGAGTATGTTCATAGGCTCATTTACACTGGTGAAAGCTGTAGACCTCCCTCTGGCGCGTCTGATGTTTAATGGCACCGTGTTTAAACATGGCAAAAAAAAAGGAAGTTGACACCGAAAACTGTTAAAGAAATTTGGACCTATGCTTACTGTTATTTTGCCACAACATCCAAAGGCTTGACCAGTATGTTTAAGTTGTACAAAGACTGTGGTGGTTGTTAAATGTGGGAACATCAAACTGCAAATATCCACTGGGCTCCCATTTAAGATCAGATAAGATCACTTAATTGAAAGGTGAATATTTTCAGAGCACAAATATTTCAAAAGCTACTTGCACTCAGGAAAATGCAACTGAAGCTTCACTGAGGTGTGTGCGGGTAATGGCAAAACTCAGGAAACCTTTTACAGATGTGGACATTATTACGCAGCGTATGACTACTACAGCTGAAACCCTTTTTGCGGAGAAGGAAGATGTTGACACCTTCAGACTTTTTTTTTTTTGATAGAGAGAAATTTATGGAGGATTTGTTGTCCCTTAAACTGCATAACAATCCCATGACAGGTGAGGATTTGTTTAATTCTGTTCAAACTTTTTTATCTAATGAAGGTTTAGACATGACTCAGATTGGGTCAATTACAACAGATAGGGCTCCTGCCATGATTAGTACTGAATCCCAATTTGATTTTCTATCACTGTAATCCACCAAACCACACTTTGTGCAAAGCTTAGCTATGAGTAAGCTAATGTAATGTTAATCGTGATAAAACCTGTCAACTTCCTTCGGTCCAAGTCAGCACTACAACACAGCTCGAAAGCTTTCTTTCAGAAGTATCTGCTGATTACGATGACCTGTTGGTTCATAATGACATCCACTGGCTGAGAAGAGGGCAAGTACTAAGAAGGCTGTGGGAAATTCAAGTTCATGTGGAAGAATAGCTACATAAAAGTCCAGGGAAACAGATAGAAGAGCTACACACATTTTTGAGGGATGCCACAAGCATGAGCTTAAATTATTTCAACTTAAAGCTACAGGGGCGAAATGAAAACGTAGTGGATCTCTACCACGTCACTTAATTTCAAAACAGAGTCTCTTCAAAAATGATTTGGAAACTGGGGAAATGCTGCATTTCCTGATGCTGCTAAGTTGCTGGGACACTGCAGATGTGAATCAGATGGTGTACTCTCTGGACAGGCTTTTTCAAAACTTCCAGGAGAGGTTCCAAGAATTTAAAAGTGTTAAAGACATCACCCTATTTGTTAAGAACCCATTCATGGTCCAAGCAAATGGCACTTGGTGCAATCAAGCAAAAGTATCCTTTCCAGATGCTAAAAAAGCAAAACCAAAAATCATCTGAGTAACTATGGGTATTTTAAAGCTCTTAGAAGTGTCAAGCTTTAAACAGAAAGCTGGTCTTAACCTCAACAAAGCAGACCTCTACAATAAATTCTGAGAACTGATAAGTAAGAAATACACATAGATCTTTTTTTCTGATTTTAAGAAACACCCCCTTCCCTCCATAAATATATAAGTAGAAAGCAGTTTTCAGACAGTGGGTTGGACTGAAAAGGAAATGCTTCAAACAGAAATATCTGGTCTTTGAGGTAGAAGGTGCTTGCAGTTTTCATAGGTAAGTTTAATTGTTAATTCCTTTTTTTTCCCCATCTGAACATACAAAAAAATATCAGAATTAGACAGACTGTGGGTTAATGACTTCAATAATTACTCTGGATTTACTTCACTTTAACAGCAGAATTTAGCTCAGTTTCTTTAAAAATCCAGATAGTATTAACAAGATGCTAAATGGGAACAGTTACGCAAAAGTTAGTTTCATTTGAGAGTTACCAGGGCTGTAAGGGGTTTTGCATGGCATCATTTTTAAACAAGCCTTTTGAACCTTTTTATTTTTCTGACATAGTATATCTAGCTTTCTGTATCTTCCTTTTGTACCTTTTCATGTTTATACAAAATCTTCTCCACACTGTAGCTAATAACTCTTTTTTAATAACAGTTTTAAAATACAAATATTTTATTTTATAACTTTGGAAAGTGTATGAAGTTTTTCCATGAATTTATAAATTAAATAAAATCTCATTGGGGTCTAGTTCATTAACAAGTAAGATGTGCATGAAGGATAATATAGCGATCTCCAACTCTCCTCTTCCCTCCACACCAGCAAGCTGAAACACCAATTTAAATGGCAGAAAGACATGCTGCCACTGTTGAGTACTTTAACACTGCTCATAAGCATTCGATTCCTTATCTACAGCCTGTAAACACAAAACAAAAACTAAATTAAACTGGCCAAAATTTAAACCTGTGGAATGATTGCTGAAAAATCTGATCAAGTTTGAAAATATTTCATAATCAGACCAGACTGAACGGGATAGCTATAGCTGCAATGACCAAGGCTCAGAACAGAGTGGTAAAGAATATTGGAAGCTTTTTCTTTCACCGCAAACTAAATCCACGTGGCCAGCATTTTAGTGTCATAGTACATCTCCAGTACATATTTGCGTGGAGGCCAGGGAGTGCTACGTTGCATTTCTGCAATCAAAATACTACTTTACATGTATTTAGCATCTTTGATTTGACAATATCAAAATGCTCTAGAAGCAGACTATTGTCATGTTATAATTCAGGACATTGAGGTATGGAGAGATTGAAGTGCTAGTCCACAATCATGAATCACTGTCAGAATTTGAATGAATTCTCCAGGTTTCCTGAGTCTCTATGCGCTATGTTATTGGACTCAGGATTTATGATCTAAGACCATAGATATTTAGTGTTATACTACTTTTGTAGTATCCCTGAATCCGTGTGCAAAAATTTCATGTCAACTCAAAAAGAAACTGCAATTCCACCATCTTGCTGTGTCAAGATGATAACTTCCAGGAGGCTAACTGCTGGGTATAAATACTCAAGCGCCTGAGGGAAGGAAAAGAAATTGTTAGCAAAATTATGAAATTAGTAAATATGACAGCCATTAAATACAGATTAATGAAGAAAATAACTCCTACAATTGTTTTTCAGCTCAGTGTGCATTTATTCAAGAAAAACTTGAATGGGATTAATGAAAAATTCAACATGTCTTCTTCAACCATCATCGGCTTCTACAGTTGCTCTGCCAATCATCTATTCTTTCCTATTTACTACAGGCAGTTTTGGAAACATTCTCTCTGGGTGGATATTTTCAAAGCACATATCTACAAAAAGAACACAGAACATCTACCTGACAAATCTCGGTATTGCAAATTTATTTGTATGCATAACAATGCCTTTTCTCGCTGCCTACTTTGCAGATGGCTATCAGTGGGAGAATGATTCCATGCTATGTAAAATAGTACACTACTTTGGAACTCTGGTTATACACACTAGTATGTATGTCAGCATTACAATTTTATGTTGGACTGCTTTAAGTCAATATTCAACATTGATGAAAAATAATGACAACACGCAATATTCTCCAACAGTTAACGAAAACTACTTCTATAAATGCCTACTGGAAAAGTTTCGTCAGCCAAAATTTGCTAAATACTTGTGCATCAGTATATGGATCATTGTACTGGGCGTAACTGTACCAGTGATAGTGTATGATTTGTATGTACAGCCTGATCAAGGACAAGTTAACAGATGCTACCACTGGAAGGCAGAAAATGGAGAACTCACTTCAAAGATCACAGTTCTTATTGCTACTGCATGGTTTTTTTTATTTTTTATAACAGTATTATTCTCATACTATTCCCTTGTCAATCACCTGAGTAAAATGCAGAAAAATACTTGCATTGGAAAGAAACATCTAATTTACAGTACAGTCAAAAGAAACATTTTTGTCATCCTACTTATATTAACTGTCTGCTTTCTTCCATATCATATTTTCAGGCCAGTTTTTTACGCGCTGCTTGCTAGTGAAGACTGCCAGATGATGAACTATTTAGTGGAAGCAAAAAACTTTCTTACTTGTCTTGCAGCTGCCAAAAGTAGTTTAGATCCTGTTGTAAATCTTTTATTAGATAAAACATTTAAGAAGAGTCTGTACAATCTCTTTAGAAAATCCTCATCACAAGATCACAAGCATACAGCTGATATTGAAGAGACTACACAAATATGAAAAAGGAATAAGTAAAAATCTTAACTGGACATATTTTAGGAAAAAAACCTTTTTGCCAAACATAGCTACTTATAACAAAAATTCTTTCTATCCACAGTGAAAATGAAATTTACAGATAAAAGATGAATTTATAGAATTTAAAAAAACCTGCTTATGAACATTTGAACTGTTAATTCATGTTTGCAACTTTGCTGTTGCTTGATGAACCTTTATACTTCTTACAATGAACTGTGCACTATGATTTTGCTTACACAAAATGAAAAAGGGATTACATTTTATGTTTGAACTATACACATTGATTAATTCCAGTCCTTGGAGAAACCAAAGATAAGGAAAGTGAAGAGAGCAGACAATAGATCAAAGGTAATAACTTGGCTCTCCAGTATCGTCACATAAATGTGCTACGGTTTCAGACATGGTCTCTCTTAGTTAAATTACAAGGACAAAAATTAAACAAAAGAAATCAAGCTAGACATGGGTAGTTTTTATGGTATAATTAAATCAAGTGTCTGAGAAATATAGATGTACTTGCAGAGAGCTAGCCAGGAATTTGGATTAACAGGGTTTTTTTTTTTTTTTTTTTTTGTCTCAGAGGTACTGGGGGAAAGGTGGTTTCCTTGTCTTTTGGGATGAGTCCATTACATGGATTGAGCAATGAAACTGACAGGAAGTATGAGGGGAGATTAGTCTGATATTTGAGTTTTTAGAATAAAGAAACATTCTTCCTACTCTTTACTTAAACTTTGTCCATCACCCTAAGAATGGTATTGTCTGAACCAGATGAGGCCCTGTCCTAGCCTCAGTGGGAGGAGGCTTATAATAGGGTTGTATAAAAAGGCTGGGAGTCTCATAGGGGTAATCAACTTCTGGTCTTATTCTTGCCTCTGACAGGGACCATGGGATGAAATTACACAGTAACACCCACAAGGTTGACAAGGGTTGATGGTGGTTACTGACCTATGGGGGTAAGAGACCCACAGAAATAGGAAGAAATCTGTAAGATGGAATGAGGGACATTGTTTTAGATGTTTTCTTTAGTTTGTTCTGGAAATCCTCATGTAGGAGTCCATCCATAGCAGTTGTGTTCCTTGAATGACCATTTGCAGCCATAGTTCTGTTTTTGGGACAATGGATTTATTGTAAACTGCTGTGCACACCCACCTACTGTTACATAGATAATTAATAGTGAATGTTATTTGTCTCATTTCAAAAGCTGGTTTTACCACACAGATTAATCTAAAATATTTAATTTAGACAAGAATGATCATAACCAAAGAGATGATTTATATAAATATATAATAAAAAGACTGCATAAAATAAATGTGCAATAGTCTGATGTATCCTAATATATACAAAAACTAAGCTTAAGCAAAATAGAGAACAGTAAAGTGCACACAAAATGTACCTGAACTCAATACTAGCCCACAGATAATCCTCCACTACAGGTCTCCTTTTGTCCAGTCTAAGCTTAAATTAGGTAAATTGTGTGGTTTAATTAGGATGACACTGACTCTCCATCAAGGTTCATCATTTAAGGATGGACAAAATAAAGGCATTTAACAATGTGACTGAACAATACAATTAATGGATAATCAATTGGTAATCACAGAGTACACTTCTAGCTGTAACACAGCTTGCCTATGAGGTTTCTCACTGCAGAAGTTTGAGGATCATGGAGAAAAACTAACAATATTAAGTAGCAATTTTAAAGAAATTATAAACAGAGGATTTTTAGATTTCTTGTTGAAATTAAAAGTTTTTTCCCCCAGCACTTTCTCTTTCTTCCTCCACCATACTAATTCACTGTAGGCAATACAAACCCACTGTAAAATACAAAAACATAGCATCTAACATGTTCAGCATTAACTGAATGTATATTCATTGTTACTGTGTAAAAGAGTAGCCACTTGACTACAATACAATGTCATCTCTTTCAAAAATAATATCCATGTAATGGACACTCTAGAAATGCTTACATGCAAAAATCTATTTTTTTCCAAGCGTTTTGATTGAAACTCATTTGTGCTCTAGCCCAGTGGTTTTCAATCAGGGGTACGTAAAAAGCACTAACAAAGTCAGTACAAAATAAAATTTCATACAGACAATGACTTGTTTATACTACTCTATATACTACACACTGAAATGTAAGAACAATATTTATATTCCAATTTATTTATTTTACAATATAGTTAAAAATGAGAAAGTAAGCAATTTTTTAGTAATAGTGTGCTGTGACACTTCTGTATTTTTATGTCTGATTTTGTAAGCAAGTAGTTTTTAAGAGAGATGAAACTTGGGGTATGCAAGACAAATCAGATTCCTGAAAGTGGTACAGTAGTCTGGAAAGGTTGAGAGCCACTGCTCTAGCCCATTACATAAATTTTATTACCAACTTCATACAATATCACAGCCAATGCAATAAAAATTATGCAACATCTGCTGTTAGTTTAGATAACTTGCAGAAAAAAGGTCCAGGTTTGAAATCCTGGTTAAACTGAAATCAATGGCAAAATTCCCATTGGCTTCAATGGAGTTAGGATTTCATTCAAGAGGCACCAGAACACAATTTAAGTGAAAAAGTTATGCAAATTTAAAATACTTAAATCAACAATGCCCAAAATGACACACAGAATGAAAATTGTTTTATGATTTTGACACTTTCTTAAATGTGGTTATATTGCAAAAAGGGACTATCGTTAGGTTTGCTGAATATAGTGGGTTTGCACATATTTACCAAAGAGAAGAATTTCTTCAGAGAACCTTTATAATCATCATCACCACCACTCCCATAACCGCACTGGTCGTTGGGGCACCATCAACTGATAAGCAATCAGTCAACTGTCTCCACCCCTGATGATTGTGTGTCAGTGCTTGAGTCTCCGCGAAGTCCATTCCTGCCCACTCTTTTAAGTTGTCAATCCATCTCTTCTTCTGTCTACCTCTTCTTCTCTTCCCCTGTACTGTCCCTTGGAGGATGATCTTGGATAGGCTAGATGATCTTGTTACATGGCCGTACCATTTCAGCTTGCGCTTCTTCACGATCTTCAGGAGGTCTTCATATTACCCAGCGCATTGGGTGATGATGTAGCATACTTCTTCATTAGTGACGTGATCGAAGTAGGAAATGCCCAGGATTTTACAAAAGTATCTTATCTCTACTACCTGTATTTTCCGTTCAAGTTCCGTCATAAGGGAACTTTTCCGTAAGTTCTGCCGTAATACTGGCAAGAACTGTGCAAACAACAGCAACAGCGGCAAAGCTAAAGCCAATTTGGAGGAATAAGAACATCTCTCTGGAATCCCAACTGAAACTGCTGCACATGCTGGTCATCTCCATTTTTCTGTGTGTGTGCGAGACATGGACCCTTATGGCAGAACCTTTATAATAGTGGTGTATAAACCAGAAAAATATCAAGCTAGATTTCAAATCCCAAGATCCCAGACTCAGATTGCAGGCCTGGCAGTACAAAAAAATCCACAACATATTGATTACGCTTTCAATATGTGGTTTAAAAAAAAATTACACACACATGCCCTTCCTCTGCTCCCTCCCTCATCTGCTGTCCCTTTCCCTTTGAGTTCCTGCTCACCATCAACCACCCAGTATTGCTTCCCTCGAAAACAGTCTTTATTGCTAATTTGACTACAAAATGCAGTTAAACTCTTAAAATAGAACATGTAAAAATATATTGTGAGATTCCATGTTTGCTGCAATGGCTTCCAGATCTAGCTTGTGTGTATACACATACACAAACACACACACGGGGGGAAGTGTTTTAATACACCAAAAATTAAAGAAAACATTTGTGCACTTTTTAGAACAAGGGGAATATAGTGAAAACAGGATACAGAATCTATATGTATTGTTTTGTAAATAAGAAATTGCACTACTGTTTGGCTATTAATTCTAATCTTATTTATATTAAAATTGATTACTGCTTGCATATTTAACTGTAAACCATTAAAAGCTTTTGTATTAAGACAAGCAATTAACATTCTCTATTTCTTAAAGAGGTTAAAAATCAGTTAGTTTAAGAACAAATTTGCTTAGATATTGCAACCAGTATCTTAGATTTAAAAAAAAAAAACTTTGTTTTAATAATTTAATTAATTACACAATAATATTTTTTTATTATTTATACTATGTTCACTTTTGCATTTCTCTCATTTTGGAAAATGAAAATATAGAAGTCTGTCAATTTCTTATATTCAGTGTTGTTGTATCTGTGTTGGTTCCAGGGTATTAGAGAGACAAGGTGGGTGAGGTTGTATCTTTTAATGGACCAACTTCACTGGTGAGACACAAGCTTTGGAGCTTACACAGAGCTCTTCTTCTGATCCTTTGCGGATGAGGACTGAGAGGCCCAGGATACACACCGTAACACACTTAAAACTGTCTTCATCACACAAGGACCCTTCACAGAGAAACAGATAGCATCATGGAACGAGACACCCAAATACCTTGAGAGAACGTGGTTCAATACAGAAAAAAACCCCTCCAACCACACACCCCTAGTTGCTACCTACCACCCCATCCTGGAACCCATATGGGGTATCATTAAACAATTACAAACCATACTCAATGGGGACCACATCCTGAAAGAAGTCTTTCCTTGCCCCCCTTTTCTGGCCTTCAAACACCCCGAGCCTTGCCAAACTCATCACCAGAAGCAAGCTCCTCACGCACCAAGACCCACCAAGTCAAAGCTGCACCAGACACTGTCATAACAGATGCAAGACCTGCAGACATATCTCCACTGCTACAATGATCAATACCCCCCCGACCAATGCCTCCCCCACCCCAACACACCTTTCAAGTTCCACAGGTCTTACACTTGCCTATCAATGTGGTGTATTTCATTCAGTGCACTAAATGCCTCAACAACATGGGTGAAACCAGATAATCACTATGCTCGTGAATGAACTCACACAGAAAAATGATAAAAGACAAAAACACCATATCACTCGTGAGTGAACACTTCTCACAAAACAATCACTCCATATCTAGAGAGACAAGGTGGGTGAGGTAGTATGTTTTATTGGACTAACTTCTGGATTTAGACTGAGCTCTCCTTCTAAACGATATTACTTCACCCACCTTGTCTTGCTAAAATCCTAAGACCAACACTGCATATCACTCCATGTCTGACCTATCAGTCCTCATTCTCAAAGGAAACCTACACAACAACTTCAAAAGACACTAAAAATCATGGTCTTAATAAAGACACAGAATTTATGGCTTATTACAACAATCTGTAACCCACTAGCCCACCTTTTCTCCCCTATGACCGGAGAGGTGTTAACGGGCCACTTCAACTTGAATGGTCTCTTAGAATATAAATTCGCCACTTATTCTAAACAATTTGTTCCACCTTATATTTAGTTGTGATAATCCGAGTACCTGAAGAACAGATCTGTGTAGCCTGAAAGCTTGTCTCTTCCACCAACATAAACTGGTCCAATAAAAAAAAATTACCTCACCAACCATGTCTCTGCAATATAATGGAATTTTTATAATTTTTTTTTAAAATGCAGTAGGTCCCTGCTGTAGAATACATTATTAGAATAGTAT